TTGCATGCATACTTGTATGGGCATGCCAGCATGTGTATATCGACATACATATAGGGAACTGGCTTCACGACAGAAACCCACTATGTAACATTGCATATAACGCGAACTTACTTGCTACTGCAACTGGCACCTTCGGTTGTACCTGTAGGCAGTTTGCCAAGGCAAGTCGCTGAGTTCTTGGGCATCAAATCCGTGATCTTCTCCTGCAGCCGAAGCAAACCCTGAACCCTAAAACCCTGAACCCTAAAACCGTGAAACCCTAAACCCTAAAGCCTAAACCCTAAACCCCTAAAACCCCTAAGCCCTGAACCCTACCACGCCTTCAGACTCTACTGCACGCCAAAGGCCCGAACCCAGAGACTCCAATATCCGTCAACTAAGGAATATACCTAAAATTATGGTAGGATCCCTATTATGACTTAAGGTATATTTTAGAAGCTGCCCCCCCTGCAATAGTGACTAGAAGGGTTATATAGGATTATATTAGGGCCCTATTATATTCCAATTATACCACTATTACAGGGTGGGGGCAGCTTCTAAGGTCTATTCCTTAATTAAGGGATATTGGAGTCTCTGGGAAGCCGCGAGGCCCGAAGTTCCAGGTCACATGCTTCCAGTTTTGAGGCCGCGAGGCTGAAAGCCGGGTCCTTAAGGGCTCCTTTAAGGGATCCTTACGGGTTCCTTTTAGGGATCCTTACGGGTTCCTTTTAGGGATCTATAAGGGATCTATAGGGCTTAGGGTTTAGGGGGATCCAAGATCCCTTAATTTAGGAATATACCTCAAACCTGATTAAGGATTATCCTGGAATTTAAGGACCTAAGCTCCTTATATAATTGGATGACCTTGGCGGTCGGTTCCAGAAGCATTATGGATCTCCATTCGGCGGGGGTGCTGGCTTGAAGCTTCGCTTTTTGAGACCCCAAACCCTAAACCTAAAGCCCTAAACCTAAAACCCTAAACCCTAACAAGGATCTTACTACTTGGGATTGTGGTGTACGGTTTAGCGCTTGCGGTCCAGATTGGGCTTCCCTTTCTCCGGGAAAACTCCAAAGAGAGCTGCCCAGCAAAGGGGTAGTTCTCTAAAGGAGGCCCCCCAAAATAGATAGTACGACACCCGTATCTACAGGACGCTTACAGGGAACCTCCCTAAACCCTAAACCCTAAATCCTAAACCCTAAATCCAGACCCTAAACCCAAAACCCTAAACCCTCAACCCTTCCTCAAACCTTAAACCCCGAAAATCGACCCCTTGACTTGGGTAGTTGTCAAAATCATTGTCCGTTTTGGGGTACCCTAAATATTAGGCGCCGTATTATAATAGGGACCCCAAAAGGGACCCTGACTCTGACAACCACCCACTTAGAGAACGACCCAACTTGCCTGAACGGAGTGGATGAGAGCTCGAACCTCGCCGAGGCTGACCGGCAAAAGGGAGTTTCCGAAAATTAGGGTACCTTTAAAGGGATGCCTTAAGGGTTCCTTAAAGGGATCGATAAGGGTTCTAGAAAGGGTTTAGGGTTTGGGAGTTTCCGAGATTTAGGGGTACCTTATTTGGGGAGTCCTCATAATAAGGGTTCTACTGTTAAGGGTACTATATTACGGTCCCCTATTGTCGGAAACTCCCATATTGACTTGCCGGGATATTGACCTCACCGGCACAACATCCGTCGCTTGCAGCCCCAAAAACCCTAAACCCTAAAACTCAAGGTGTAGGGTTTAGGGGCTAGGGAAGATATTTTTCAGCACTAAACCCTAAACCCTAAACCCTACAACCTAAACCCTAAACCCTACAACCTAGACCCTAAACCCTAACCCTAAACCCTAAACCCTAAACATAAACTTATGTACACCCACAAAGCTTTGAAGTCGGAACCCTGGACTCTCTGAGCCCCAATCTCTGCAAGTCCGAAGCCCAAACTTCGCCATCCACTTTGGAATCTCACCGCTGCTACCTGGACCCAACCACAGTTTAGAGTTTAGGGTTTGGGGGTTTAGGGTTTAGGAGTTTTAGACTTTAGGATTTGGGGGTTTAGGGTTTAGGAGTTTTACAGTTTAGGGTTTGGGGGTATAGGGTTTAGGAGTTTTAGGGTTTAGGGTTTGGGATACTGTGCAGTAAACCCCATAAAGTTGGAAACCGGATTAAGGCCAACTAGTGCTGGGATTCCCTGTGCATTACTCTTGAGGATTGGGGCTATTGGGCTTCCAACTTTAATTTTGGGCTTCGGCTATAACCGAGCGACCTAATATAGGGGCCTCAGTAGTTAGAATAAGGTTTTTGGGCCCATTATACTTTAATTATAAAAAGGAACCCCACAATAGTTTTGGTAATTATTCAGGCCCCTATAGTATTTAAGGACTTGTGTAAGGAAATCATATATCGGGAACCCCAGACAGGAAGGTCCAGGTAATTGATATGGACGGTTACGGGGTCTGGGGTCTAGGAAGACCATATAGACACTGCTGCCTTAACAGTTATGCATAGGAAACAGCAGATTCCTGCACTCAGCGGTTATCTAAATCCATGCTCCAATTGGGCTGCAACTCCGAACCTGTAAGGTAAAAGCCAGAAAGTTGGAATATGATTATCCTAAACCCTTTATGGTAAATTATAGGGTATCCTACCATGAAACCATATTCCAACTTTCTGGAGTTCCCTGTAGGCCCTTTTTACCTAGAAAAGCACCTGCAGATCCTTCTCGTCTCGGCCTTCGGGCACCTCCTGCGGCCAGGAACGTTGCGAGGGTTGGTCCAGGATTGGGGATGTAATAGAAGGGCCTTAATGATTAGAGTAGGGTTTGTGGGTATATGACACTATAATTATAGGATGTAATAGAAGGGCCTGTTAATAATTGGGATAGGGTTTTGGGGTATATGACACTATATTTATCAGAAGCAGCCCCCAAAATGGTATAGGAAGTATTGAGGCCCCTATAGTAGGGTTCTGGGTCGGGACTGAACAGGCATTGAGGGTAGGGATTGGGATGTAGGTACTGGCACCCTCTGCTGGGGATCGCGCCATAAGCGACTGCTTTACTTGCGGCATCCAGCGGTCCAATCCCAATTCGTTGACGATTCATGCCAAAGAAAGCCCTGTTTAGCAAGTCCCCTGATCCTTCAAGCGGTGTTGCGATCTCGTGTTGCTCTAGCTTCTCGGCCTTCTTTCTGTTGAAAATGTCAGCTGAGGTGCACAAATCGAGAAGTGTACCAAGGGAGCATGCTGAAGATTAACATGGCCCCTGCAAGGATGACCACGTGAAATCGCGGCTCAAGATGACACACACAAATAGGGAAGTGTGCTTGTCTTTGGGAGTTCCGAATGGGGGTTGATTGGGTTTGATTGAGTTCAGGGCAGAACTTCGGAGCTTGATCTGAAATGGAGTACTCTTCTCGAGATGATGTACCATATCAGGTAAGACAACGTAGTCTACTACAGAGTCCTACCCCGAGTCACTACTCTATCGTTACGAACACTTCCTCAACTCTCCCTCATGACCGAGCCCAAACCCCGTAAGCTCTCCTCCTACCCCGAGTCATTACTCACTTGTTACGAACACTCCCTCTCCTCTCCCTCATAACCGACACCTTCAAGGGTATCCATCCACTTTCCTGCACAAGAACCCCGAAACCCCCCGTAGAGATGAAGCCAGAAAGTTGGAATATCATTATCCTAACCCCTTTAAGGTAAACTATAGGGGATCCTACCATTAATCCATATTCCAACTTTCTGGAGTTCCCTTTAGAGATGCTGATAATGATGATGGGCATCCAGAACCCTACAGCGATTGATCCTGAACAAAAGATACCTGGTAAAGGGGCCTTAAAAATTAGAATAGCGTTTTGGGGCCCATTATACTATGAATATTAAAAAGGAACCCCCAAAATAGTGAAGGCAATTATTAAGGCCGCTAAACTAGCCTCAAAATCCAGTCAACTCTGATGCCTAAAGCTTGAACGTGGAATCGCCTGTAAGAGTAATTATAGAACCCGACCCCGAGGGTAACCAACATAGAGATCTTTAGGGTAAACCCTCCCGAAGGGTCCAAAGTACCTAATCAGCAGAACGTAGGCTTTCATTTTAGGAAGTACAATTAAGATTTCGGAAGTATTCCCCGTAACAGTACCTAGCCCGTTTGGGCCTAAAAACTCCACACCCTGCATCCTTTGAACCTAAAACCTCAAAGCCCAAACGCGGAATCAAAAGGTTGCTTGCGGCTTGGGTTCAGGCTGCAGGGTTTGGAATTGTGAACTGCAGGGAGGGTTTGGGGTTTTGGGAATTTCTCAGTCTTGTCTCACCACCCTAAACCCTAAACCCTCAACCCCTTCCTCTCTGCACTCTGCGCCGGGGCTCCAGAGAGGATTTAAAAAGCAAAACACCTGGGTCGAACCAGGGCCCTGAAAATTGAAATATAGGAGCCTTACTCAGTCGAATGGGGTTTGGGAGTAGAGTGTAGGGTTTAGGGTTCAGGGTTTAAGGTTTAGGGTTTTAGGGTTTACGGTTTAGGATTTAGGGTTTAGGGTAGAGTCTGACATCGGAAACCCACATCAAAGCTCAGTCTTTTGAATCCGGCACGCTCTCAAGGATGGAGGAGCTAAGCTTTAAGGTTAATCCTACAACCCCGCTGGATGTAGGGTTGAGGGCTCAGGATTTGGGGCTAAATTCGGGCCAACCGTAGACTCGAAGCATTGACCTGCTACAGTAAAGCCTTTCAGAAAAGCTCTGGTAGAACCCAAAAAAAACCTTCAAAAACCCGAAACCTGGTAGAACCCTGATGCAATCCTAAGTCCTTACAGCACTCTTCTATGCTCTAGCGCCTCACATCCTGAACCCTTAGCCCCAAACCCTAAACCCTTCGTCCCAGAGACTCCAGTATCCCTTATTGAGGAATATACGAATATACCTTAAACTATAGTAGGATCCCTACTATGATCTAAGGAATATTCCTTGATTAAGGGATTTTGGAGTCTCTCGGTTCGGGCTCTACGAGTCTTCGCTGCTCTCTCAAAGCTCCGAGTGAGAGGACGCCTCGGCACAAACCGCGCAGGAAAGGGAGCTCGAAAGCAATGCCTAAAGCCCAAATCCTAAACCCTAGTTCTATGTTGTAGAATTGGTGCTATAAGGTGTTATGGGCTCTGGCGGGCATCTTCCGAGCTTTGGGGCGTTCGGGATCTTTTCTGCGAAGGCTGCAGGGCATTGCGGCTACCAAAAATAAGTTCTTAACACACCCTGAGACCTTCAAAAACCCTGTAGAAAAGCATGAAGAATCCGCATCAAGATTTTCCAGCTTGAGGTTTGGTTTTTCTGGCTGAGGGAATAACAGCGGCCCTGATGTTCAAGACCTCACGGGAACAGGACTTACAACTCCAGCATGTGAATTAACGACTTAGTAAGTAGGTTTTGGTTGGGGCCAGAAACGGAAAACCCTTACAAAGACTTAGGGGTGTATGAGCTTGGGCAAAACTGAAAAAAGGTGCTTCAGATCAGAAGCTTATAGTTGTTGTGCCGTGTGAGTTGTAGGGCAGTGTTCAGGACAACCGCCACATAACGAGCCCGGCGGCACTCTGCACACAAGGCTGGAGCACGGCCAGGAGCACACTGCACCGCGCCATGGCAGGAGCTTCTGCTCTTAAGCAAGACACCTCGTACACGTTGGCCGGAACGTTTAACGTGCTCCGGCAGCACGCAGCAGCTTTTAAGGTGGACCGCCACCACCCGCGGCGTTGTTTGTCCGCCGGCAAGACAAGGAACCACAGGCATCCCGCAAGTCCCGCGCAGAGCACCACATTCGGCTCGGAGCTGCTGGTTGTCCACCTTGTAAGTACAGAGGACACACGATTTAGCGACCGCGAGGGCTCGCCATGTAAGAGCGCGGCAGTCGCTTGCGAGCTTCCGGTTTCTTGCGGAAATCCTCTTGACTTCCACGAGTCGCACCTAAATTAGGGTCCCCTATATTCGGAAACCACCATTTAACACTCGTTTGGGTTAATACTACAACTAATATTCCTAAGGGCCAGCCAGTACGAATGACCTAACCCTCAACCCTACAACCCTCATAACCTCATCCAAACAGAAAGTTGGAACATGGACTTGAGATGATTAGTGCTAGGCTCCCGGATCCTATACATCAAGGGCATGAAGATGATGATGCTCCAACCTTCTGGCTACTGAACCCTCAGCCTCAACCCTGATCCTAAACCCTAAGCCCTAAACTCAAACCCAAAACCCTAGGGTTTAGGGTTTAGGGTGTTTAATGTCTAAACTCTAGCCCTAAGCTCCTAAACCCTAAATTCTGCTTGCTGGAGCTCCAGGTCTCTAGTTTTTTCACGAGGCTTCTTGCTGCACGGGCCTTTTAAGGTGCACGGCTGCAGAGCTTCAGGGTCTAGGGTGCGTGGTTTAGGGTTCAGGCCTCAGGATTTCCGGGTTTAGGGCTTAGGGCTCCGGGTTTCGGGTTTAGGGCTCAAGGTTCCGGGTTCCGGGTTTGGTTTAGGGTTCAGGCTCTAGGGCTTCAGGGTTCTGTGCTTACGGTTCCAGGGTTTAGGGCTGTAGGGCTTAAGGTCTTAGGCAGTTGAAACGGTTGATGGACGAAATCCTGCATGACCCTAAGGACTCTAAACTATGGGAACTGTGGTATATTCCTGAAAAAGAGTAATGCCGGATTTTGTCCATCAGCAGAATTGAAGGTTTAAGGATGTGGGCCCCCTGGCCTGGAGTGCAGGGTCATTGGCCTGGCGACACGCAACCTGATCCCCTAATATAGGGGCCTTACAAATTAGAATAGGGTCTTGGGGCCTATTATACTATAAATATAGTAAGGAACCCCGAGAATACTATAGGTAATCATTAAGGCCCCTATAGTAAATCCTAAGCCCATGAGTCGATTTTCCGCACCGGGCGTTCTTCGCATCGTGCGGATGTGGGCACACAGTCTGGCTTCATGCTGGAGGCTTCCTCTTGCTTACGGGTTGAGGTCGGGCTTGTAGTTTTCGAGCCCATTTTTTTTTTAGGGGCATGGTTTCTCGGGGCTTTAGGGCTTTAGGGCTTCAGGTGGGTTTGCCCTGTAGAACAAGAGGTGGCAGTTTCGGTGTGACTGTCGGATCCTCGCAGTGTTGGGATACATGACCCTATTGTAGACTCCAAAAAGTTGGAGACCTAATTTAGGACAAATCGTGCCCTCGATTTTGCTCTTAGGGATTGAGGATATCGGGTTTCCAACTTTTCGGCTTCTGCTGTACGTTGATGATTGATGGAGTCTCAAGTTAAAGCCTCCCACCGTGAAGCGCCGTTATTGGAACAGGATCAATCTGCACCTTGTCTTTCAGCTTCTCGTCCTGAGAACAGGCCGTTCTTGGATGTGCAGCACACACTCGAACCCGTCATGCTACCAGATTTTTCTTGAATTCCAAATCTGACGCCCAAATCCCAAGTCCATTAATCCAACTGCATCGTCATCAAAAGTGCACCTGTAACGCTTCAGCGTCTCAGTCCCCTCTACTGCTACTTGTACTATCTACTGCCACTGCTGCTGCTGCGGCTGCTGATGCTGCCGCTGCCGTACTAATACTAACACTAATACTAACACTGATACATACTAGTACTAATACTAGTGCAACTACTACTACTACTACTACTACTACTACTACTACTACTACTACTACTACTACTACTACTACTACTACTACTACTACTACTACTACTACTACTTCTGCTACTACTTCTACTACTTCTACTACTTCTACTACTTCTACTACTTCTACTACTTCTACTACTTCTACTTCTTCTACTACTACTTCTACTACTACTACTACTACTACTCCTACTACTACTCCTACTCCTACTGCTACTGCTACTGCTACTGCTACTGCTACTGCTACTGCTACTGCTACTGCTACTGCTACTGCTACTGCTACTACTACTACTACTACTACTACTACTACTACTACTACTGCTACTACACCTACTACTACTACTACTACTACTACTACTACTACTACTACTACTACTACTACTACTACTACTACTACTACTACTACTACTACTACTACTACTATTCCAATGATTACTACGACTACTCCGACTACTACAATTACTACGACTACTACGACTGCTACGACTACGACTATTTCATTCCATTCTGCTTCTCCTTCTACCTGTACTACTGCTACGACTACTACGACGACGACGATGACGACGATGGCGACGACTGCTACTACTACTACTACTACTACTACTACTACTACTACTACTACTACTACTACTACTACTACTACTACTACTACTACTACTTCTACTTCTACTACTACTACTACTACTACTACTACTACTACTACTACTACTACTACTTCGACTACTATTATTACTACTACTACTACTACTACTACTACTACTACTACTACTACTACTACTGCTGCTACTACTACTACTACTACTACTACTACTACTACTACTACTACGATGACGACTACCGCAACCACTCGTCCTTCTCCTCCTGCTCCGCCTGCTACTTTTTCTTCTACTTCTACTACTTCTGCTTTGCCTGCAAGTTTCACCACCACTGCCAAACTGCTAGTACCCTTGGCCACTTGGCGAGTTTCAAGTGGGGCCTCCTCTGGATTTAGGCTCTTTGGGGTATATTCGACTATAGACTATAGTCATAGTAAGGGACCCCCAAAATAGTATAGGTAATTACTTAGGCCCCAATAGTAGGAAGCCTTGTCGCTCTTGGGGTAGAGGCTGACGACGGCATCGGGATCGTCGGGACATCGCGGAAAATGATCGGGAGGGTGGCCAAACCATTCGAGCTTGCCTCCACGGGGCTTGTCGGGGGTTTGGATATTGAACGGTTTAGATGTTGGTGCAATTGGATTCGGAGTTAGGGTTCAGCATGTGCATAAAGATGTCTCTTAACTGCTAGCAGCAGCTTGGTGTGCGAACGGTGTCAGGTTCTCTCCCCTTCTGTACTATGCGTTGCTCTCTGCAAGCAAGACGAATTGGCACCTCAGAAAGTCAACGGTGTAATGAGGTGAGGGCTGCAGGGTTCGGAACATAGCGACGTGCTTTTGGGCTGCAAGCCTCTCGAACCGCATCATCATCATCATCATCATCATCATCAGCATCATGATAATTGTTATTGGAGCGGTAACAACGCGAAGAAAAATACACCGCTTGCGGCTCCTTTATGTTCCTATACCCATGTAGTAGAAGATACCCCAAAAGCTCTCTGTTTCTAGAGACTCGTGTCTAAAACCAAGAAAAAAGCAATGCTTCGCCACTGCCTTTGTAGCACATGCGGATGCACGTTCTTCGGCACGTGTCAGGAGAAGGTTCCCCTTCCACAGCATCGAAGGTCCTGCTGACGCCTCAGCTTGGGGCTTAGGATTGGGTTTAGTCGTTTGGGTTTAGCGCATGAGGTCGGAGTCGGCATAGTTGATAATAGTACTGCTTATAATCCCTATACATTTTTCGATTCTCGCATCATACAACCCCAAACAGTTCATGGCTGTGAGGAAACTACGACACTACCACAACTGCACAACGAGCAGAGGCACGTGCTGTAGAGGCGCACGTAAGGCCTACATGAATTCCACAACAAAGCCTACAGGAGGTAACACAACATGAGTAGCACTCCTAAATCCTGAGCCCCCAACGGTTTGATCAGTTCAGGTAGTCTAGCGGTTGGAGGATTCCAGCACCGGACCACCAAAACGAAGTATGCTAAACCCGAGGCCCGAAAGGCGTACGGTTTAGCGTTTGGCGGTTCAGGGTTTACCTATGGTGCGATGTACCTGAGGCTGCACTCGCAAAAGTCAACGTTAGCTTAGGTTTAAACAAACGGTGACAAACGAGTGAATGGTTTTTTCGTTGTTGTGGCAACTGGCTGGCACCCTAACCCTCAACCCCGAATCCCACACGCTACCTGTAGCACCGAAAACCTACCTTTTTTCAAGGGAACTATACATAGAAACCATAACAAGGAAACCTAGGTAGGGTTTATGGGCTACAGGTAAGCCCTGCAGCGTGTAACCCTG